CCATTTTCACTGCATTATTGCAGTAGGGTAGGACTAGAACGGAACATATGCGAACCATGCGTAACCAGCATATGCTGAACTGGGCATCTCTGCTAAAATATGGTTGATAAATAAATAAATAAATAAATAAGTCAACTAATAACATAGTAAGAGTTAAAATTGGATTCTGGGAGGGGTAGGTGCTCAGATACTGACGTTTATCTAGATTTGGAACCTTGCGTTTTTTACTTCGACTCGACTCCACCCTGAAACACGTTTACCCTGTATCTTTACATACAACTGTCCATTGTTGCGATACATTAAGTTGTTTCACGGGCAGTTTGAAATTAACCAAGTAAAGGAGATCGAACAAGTGTTTTTTTAAACATGAAAATAAACGTAAAAAAGAGAAGATTATCCAACCTGGTGTAGTCTTTGGAACCTGTGTCCCCACTGTGATCATTTTTGTTGGCTCTGCGGTTGGAACAAAGTAAAAAAAATAAATAAATAAAGGCCACTGTCAGCAAGCGCTTTCTGAACTTTACTGACAAGGGAGAGAGGGGACGAAGAAAGTTTTTTTTAACAGTGAAAGAGGAGAGAATGTTATCCTACCTAGCGTAGTCTTTCGGATCTGTGTCCGCATGGTTGTTGTTGTTGGCTCTGCGGTTAAGGAAGTTTTCAGGGTTGCCTGAAACCGAGTCACGTTCTCTCGCGTTAGGTTTCCCCGTGGGTCTGAAATTGTTCCGTACAAAATTAGCGACCAACTGTAAAGTGTACCTACGAGACAAAATAAAGTGCATGCCGTGGTCAGTAAGAGGCTGTGGAAAAGCAAGTGAAAACGTCCCACCTAAAACTGGAAAGATCCGAGGATATACCCCACGTGATATTCCCCAATTTGTCACCCTTACGTCTCCTACGATAAAAGCGTTCGTTTAATTCAAGAAGGGTGACATATTTGTTTGTTCAGAAAGTCGTACCAGTGGACACCGAAAAGAAAACCTTCCACACTGCAAAAGCTTTCTGATTCTTTGTATCTAATTTTTATATTTTTACATTTTCGAAGTGAACAGTTTTATTGATTAGTTTTTAGTATCAGTGTAGAGTTGAATTTTTAACATTTAATTGTAATGCGCAAATGAAAATTTTTATATCGATAATTGCGCAATATAAGTCTATAAATTATCAAATTATTATTACTGAAAACTCTAAGCTGTTCGTAAACATTTTTCCCGATTGTTGCAAAATATAGCCTTTATTTGGCGCGAAAATATACTCGTACATTGTCCTTAGACATTACCTGTTCCTTGAAGCTCACTGTTTCCCCCGAGTTTCGCTCTTGGAAAACTGTTCGCCCCTCGATACAGATAACGCCTTCGGACAAATCTCCGTGCTTATTTTTGCGCTAGATGGAGGCTATTGTTTACATAAACAGTTCACTGTCACGATTTTTAACATAAAAAGGTTCCCACTACGCGAGACAAACTATACTAAATGGTAGTATAGTATTCATAGTATCATCAACAAGTACATCCAAATGTAGTATGAATGCCCCGCATCTACCTTTACTAGGAATGTTTTTGTCAAAATCATCAATATTCAGCTCCCATGATCCCGTCGGGTCTTCTCCCCAGTGAAACAGAGTTGTAATAATCCAGTCAGTCAAGTTTCTATAACCTGTTATGTTATCGATGACGCGTTTTCGAGTCAGCGGTGACACTGTACCACTCGGTGCTGTTAACTGCAACGACAAGTCTCCACGCCGAGAGAAATCGAGATTTAGCCTGATCTGAACATGTTCGAGGAATTTAATTTTGCAATCGCTAAATCGTATGGAAACTGTACTTGGGATTGATCTGAAAATTGAAAGAAAATCGTGTTATCTTGTGCTCTGAACAGCTTGGCCCAACGGGTCCAAGGTAAATGACCTTTGACCATGTATTTTAGTGCTACGCAGAAAGGTAGCACCAGCAACGACTGCAAAAAATTCTATTGAGAAGCCTGTTTTGATGCTTAAATGAGAGGCCATTCTCCGTATTCTCTTTCCGAATTTATTGGACTGCCTAATTGGTGAGCCCACGTTCTGCACGCGAGACAGTACAGCTGGAGTTCGGCAAACGGAGTCGAGGCTATTTTCGTTTGGTTTTTTCTTTTTCTTTTTTTTTTCCCAACCATTTTCACTGCATTATTGCAGTAGGGTAGGACTAGAACGGAACATATGCGAACCATGCGAGTAGTCCACCCCATAAATCCCACCAATCCCACCCCAGGGGAGGACATCCATCACACAGTAATCTCGTGTGTGGGAAATTAACGTCTCCTACCCCAGCCCTGCAGGAGACGGGACCTCCATTTATTCGTCCCTATCCGAGAAGACTAGAATATCTAACCATTTCTTGAAGTTATAGAAAGGTAGCAAATTCTTCTCAATTATTTTAAGACCTTNAGTATGTTTTGGTAACACTTATCCGCTGGATAATTCTTTACCTGGTGTGGATGGCACAGTATGTTTTGGTAACACTTATCTGCTAGATAGAATTTATCCGGTTGATAGAGTTATCCTCCCTTTGAACAAATGGGTCCTGACTGCTAATAGTCACTATTAAGCTCTCAGGACGGCCACGCCAGGGAAGACGTCGATTAAAAAATCAATTTATATCTTAAGTTGGAATTTCGCGAATGGCAGGATGTGTAGACGTTCTCTTACGGCGCCGCTCCTAAACTTCAGCTTACGTTATGCAAGCAGCGTTGAGTTCCAAATGAAAACTTTGAAAATATATCTGCCGACGTGGTTCCTGTTATCAGACCGCGAACACTTTGGAGATTTCACGATGCTGTTTTGCAGAGGACGGCTAAGAAATGTGAAAAGTTTTAAAACACGCGTGCCAAGCTAGTTTTTTGCTCATTAGATCTTTTATTTTTCTCGTCCTCTTTGCCGTGGTTTATTTAAGGTTTCAAGAAACTCTGTATGCTCATCTTACCACGGTTCCTTTTCCCACGAGTGAATCCCTGCTGAAGGTGGTGGCCATGATTCCAGGACATTCCTCAGCATAGCTGGGACGGGATCCATCTTTGTTCACACCGTTGATGGCGATGGTGTAGATACTATTCACATAACCATTGTATGCACAGCTGTCTCCCGTTAGGCCGCCATTACCAGCTGAAAACGTGTAGATAGCACCCAGGCCACCACGACCCTGGAATGAAATAAAACAAAGTGCGGGTGATGAAGTTAGTTCTTGTAACTGCCAGTTTGCGGTGAGTCACGGCGGAAACAATTCTTGGATAGAATTACTTTTGAAGCAAAAAGAAATTAACGCGTGAATTAAGCGTGGACCTTTTTGTGCCTCACAATCAAAGTTCGTTTTATGACCATGGCTATCGAGGTTTCCCTCAAAATTACTAGTAGTTCATTCACGTACACATTTTCACCTCTGACAAAAATTCGACTTGGCAGCTTCAGAAATCAGACTGAAAGGTCTTAAACAATCGTGCATTTAAGCTAAGCATCGAAAATCTTATGAATATCAAATGAAGCTATTAAGAGCTCCAGCTCAAAGGAAATACGGGCTTGGGCTTGGAGAACGCAGCAAA